ATTCTGGGGTGCACAGGGGGTTATTTGGGCCCCCCCACCTGTTGTCATCCTCCCGCAGGGTCCCGTTGAGCCGCGCCAGCTCGCGCAGCTGCATCTTGCGCAGATCGTTCTGGTCCTCGGGGGTCTCGATCCCCTGCTTCAGGATGTTCCTGATCTGGTTTTGGGGCACAAACGCATCAGAATGGGAACATGTGAGACATCCCCCTGCCCCAAATCCCCTGTAGGACTCCCCCGGACCTGCTCCACCGCCTTCTTGACGTTGTCCATGGTGTTGGCGGTCACCAGGGCGTGCAGGGGCTCGTCCTCGCCCGGCAGCATCTGCCCGTCCTTGCGGCCCACCTTGCCCTCCTTCACCGAGCCCTTGCCCCGGATCATGATCTTGGCGTTGCACTCCTTCTCAATGTTCTTCAGCGTGTTCCCCCTGCACCGGGGGGAAACGGGGGGTCAGGGACCCCAGTTTGGGGAGGTGGGGGGCAAGGACCCATGGGGGAACCCACACCGGGACCCTACAAGGGGTGGGTGAGAACCCAGTGGCACCTCGGCTTCGTTAGGAGCCCAGCATCATTAAGAGCTTGGAGTCGTTAAGAGCACCCCCAGGTTATTTAGGGGGCACATCAAAAGCAAGGTGCAGAATGGGGGGATTAGGGACCCCAATTTGGGGAGGTGGGGGGCAAGGACCCATTGGGGAACCCACACCGGGACCCTACAAGGGGTGGGTGAGAACCCAGTGGCACCTCGGCTTCGTTAGGAGCCCAGCATCATTAAGAGTTTGGAGCCCCCTAATTACTTAGGGGTCACTAAGGGGGTTCACCCACCCCAAATTAGAGGGGGACCCCATGGACCCAATGGGGAACCCACACCAGGACCCTACAGTGGGGACATGGGAACCCAGTGGCACCGCAGCATCGTTAGGAGCCCAGCGTCATTAACAACTTGGAGTCATTAACAGTTTGGAATCATTAAGAGCCCTCCCTAATTACTTAGGGGAACTGAGGGGGTTCACCCACCCCAATGTGGGGGGGAATCAAGGACCCATTGGGGAACCCACACTGGAACCCCATGGGGGGGAAGATGGGAACACCCCAGCATCGTTAGGAGCCCGCCCTCGTTAACACCCATTAAGAGCCCAGACTCATTAAGAGCCCAGACTCATTAACCCCCTGGCATCGTTAACCACCCCCCCATTTTCAGGGTGATGCTGAGGGGGTATTCACCCCCCAAACTGCTGCTTCAGCCCCCAGTCCCACACACTGGGCAGGCCTCAGCTCCCCCCTTCGTTAAGCTCCAGCCCTCATTAGGCCCCCCTTCGTTAAGCGCCTGCCCTCATTAGCAGCCTGAGGTCATCAGGAGCCCCCTCCCCAATTTGGGGGGCACTTCTGGGGGGTCGGGGACGCACCTGGGCCCGATGAGGAGCCCCACGAAGTTGATCTCGGGGTACTCGTCCTGCGGGATCATCACTTTGTCACTCACCCGCGTGGCCGGCGGCCTGCACCATTAGCATAATTAATGAGCAATTAACAAAGTAATTGGTCTGAGATGAACAAAACTGTCCTAAAGTCGAGTGTTAGCATGGAAAAAGCCGGGTCTTGTTACCAAGAGTAGAGATTGGCACCAAAATTCGACGTTATTGCCCTAAACCCAAGCGTTATCAACCGTTGTTACGCCAAAACTTCAGGTATTGCTACTGAAAATTGACATTATTATTAAAAACTGGCATTCCTATCCTAACATCAAGCGTTATTATGAAAGAAATGTCAGGTGATATTACCAAAACCTGACATTATTACTAAAAATTGACATTATTGCCTTAAAACCGACTGCTATCAACCAAAAGAGCCAGGTTTTATTACAAAACATAGCCATTATCGCTAAAAATGGACGTTATTGCCCTAAAACCAACGTCTATTATCCAAAAAAGCCAGGTTTTATTTGCAAAAATTGACATTACTACTAAAAATTGATGTTACTGCCCCAAAACCAAACGTTATCATCCAAAAAAAGCCAGGTATCATTACCAAAACCAGATCTTATTACTAAAAATTGACATTATTGCCCCAAAACCAACCGCTATTATCCAAAAAAGCCACATAAGATAGACATTATCACCAAAAGTCAACGTTATTGCCCTAAAACCAAACGTTCTCATCCAAAAAAAGCCAGGTATCATTACCAAAACCAGATCTTATCACTAAAAATTGACATTATTGTCCTAAAACCACTGTCTATTATCCAAAAAAGCCAGCTTTTATTCCCAGAAATAGACATTACTACTAAAAATTGACATTATTGCTCTAAAACCAAACGTTCTCATCCAAAAAAACCCAGGTATCATTACCAAAACCAGATATTATCACTAAAAATTGACATTATTGCCCTAAAACCACTGTCTATTATCCAAAAAAGCCAGGTTTTATTACAAGAAAAAGCCATTCTTACTAAAAACCGACATCACTGCCCTAAAACCAAACGTTATCATCCAAAAAAACCCAGGTATCATTACCAAAACCAGATATTATCACTAAAAATTGACATTATTGCCCTAAAACCACTGTCTATTATCCAAAAAAGCCAGGTTTTATTCCCAGAAATAGACGTTACTACTAAAAACCGACGTTATTGCTAAAAACCGACATCACTGCCCTAAAAACAAACGTTCTCTCCCCAAAAAAGCCAAGTATTGTTCCCAAAAACCGACGTTACCACTAAAACTCGACAGGATAAATCAACATCGTTACTAAAAATCAACGTTACTGCCTTACAACCCACAGACACCCTGAAAAGATGGCAGGAATCATTACCAAAACCTGGTGTTATTGCTAAAAACTGACGTTACTGCTCTAAACCCAAACGTTATCAGCAATAAGAGTCGTGTATTGTTATAATAAATGAATATTACCCCCCAAACACCAAGCAAGACGGTTAAAGCACCTCAAATCCAATCACCAGGACAAACACTGCCGCTGAAACCGGGCGTTGCGGCCCCAAGCCCAGCGCCAGCACCCACAACAAGAGGGTCCCGAGCCCCGCAGGGGCACAATCCACCCCAAAGCTCTCACTTGTAGTCGGCCGGGGGCTTGAAGTCGGGGTTGAGCGCCACCATCTCCGTGATCAGGTTGTGCCTCTCCTCCTCCAGCTTCTTGCGGGTGCGGAACTCGCGCGTGTTCAGGCGCTTCCCCTCGCTGTTGTAGATGGGCTCGGGGGACGGGGAC